CCCCCCCCCCCCCCTCTCTCTCACTCACACATACACATTTTCTCTCTCTCCCCCCCTCTTTCTGTCTTTCTTACTTCCTTTTTGTCTGTCTCTTATCTTAATATTAATCTTTTTCTCTCTCTCTCTCTCTCTCTCAGTCTCTCTCTCTCTCAGATAAATAACCGACCCTGGTTTTGAATGAAAAGACCACAATTTTTATCTCCGTGGACCTAAATCCTGGTTCCGCTAGACTCTTCCATTATTTTTATATACTCATACTCATATAATATGTGTCACGACGCGATGGATGGAAATCAGGCACTCGTCAATTTTTGGACATGTGGAGTTATTGGTATCACTATCATCAGCTGAAAGCTTTAGATTCTAAATTCATTAGCTTTGCTTTCACTTAAAAAAATATACTCATCTATCTTGAATACAAGTCGAGGTACATGTATTTGAGATTGAATGAAGGAGATGGGGTTGCCTGGTTTCAGTGGTAAAATTGATTTTCCTTAAAATCAATAAAATGACATATATTTTATGCCTTTAATCAACGTTTTTCAGTAGGGCCTACAATCCACATGGAAATGTGTTAGTGTTAATCTGTTAATATGGACATGAAATTGTATGTTGAGCCAAAAAATAAAAATTCTAAAAAAATTGCCATTTTGGCGCGAAAATGCCCGTTTCTTCAATTTCATCATTTTGATGAGCTTCTGATTTCACCACAATGCCTCACATTATAAGACCGAATGCAGTTGCGAGTTCCATAAAACTATTTCAAAAACTTTTTTTTGCAAGTCTCCACAGCTGTCCCTGCAGTTTTATGTAAAAAAAAATAATTATGAAATTATCATAATATGCAAACCGAGCCCAAAAATGGGAAATTACGCGTTTCTGTTAATTTTAACAAAGAATGATAAAGGAAAATAATCAGAAATTATGCAAAAAATGATCAAATTTTGCTAAATTATGCGGGGTGCATAAAACCATGGGGACAGCTAGAGCCTGTTTCTCCATTTGTCTTCACAACTACTATCACTTTTCACTCTAATCTGTACTCTGGGTTAAAAAAAAACACTTTTTCTGAAAGGTGAAAGTGTGATGCTTCTTTCCTGTTACTGTTATGGAGCTTCAGTCACATTACATCATGTAGCCTACATGTAGTCACCTACAGTAATCATACTCCATATACAGTACATCATGTACATATAGTCATACTCCATATACTACTACTAGTCATAGAGTGGAACTTGCTTTCAACAAAGTCAATAGGCCTGACCTTCAGTTTCACTGAATCAGAGTCTGAGTGTTCATTATTATTATATAAATTATAGCAAACTTGAGGATTTAGTGCTGATAATTACAGGCACCGAGAAAATAATGTGTAGTAATAGTAGTAATAGTTATAAGTGCCGAAGATTAGAGGGCTTAGAGGGGTTACAAGAGAGTAACAAACACAAAAAAAAGGAGGGGAGATAGAGCCAGAGACGATAAGATTTTTTATAGGCAAGAAGGAGCAAACCACACCAGAGATCCCGCCAAGCACCCATGGTCACATAAGATATTAACAATAGGCTATGTCTAAGCGAATAAATTGAATAATGATTCGTGCTGAAAAAGCGATGGATGAGGATGGTTTCCAGGAACAGATCTGAGAAGGTTCGTTGCCGGAGGAAAATGAGCGAAGCCACATCAGTGGGGACTGTTCACCCTGCAAGCGACTTCGTTGAATCTGATCTTGACACTGTACTGTATCTTCTCGTTGACTGAATCAGTTATTTTTATTTATTTTAATGAACAAAATGAATTTTTTTTTAAACGGAAGAATCCACCTAGTTTCCTTGATGAATCCAAACTTTCACTGAATCCGAGTCCTACTGTTTCATTATTTCAGCTACATTCACAACAAACAGCCGTTAGGAGCTTCACTGTCGCACACAGATGACCCAAAAGTAATTCTTTTATATCATATGGGAATTAACAATATATGTTATCGAGTGTCTTTCAGCTGGGACGTTGTATCCCTCTCAGCCCACGGTGGCCCATACAGGCAGGACCAAAGCCCACCTCCAAAAAATGATCCAAATTGTGTTGATGTGGGTGCAAAAACTGTAATGCATATTTTTTGCTAACTTCACAAGTGTACCGACAGATGTATCGTCTTCACTATCCCAGCCAGAACACACTAACCTAAATAACTCCATAACTCCAAACACATAACTCAAATTCAAGAAAAGCTTACGTTAAACATTTGATTTTCTCATGCAAATCCCCGACAAGTTTAAAGTATCTGTGCTCGACTGTATGTAGTAGGTATACTATACATCTCTGAGGCAGCGTGGTGAAATCGGGCGCTCATCAAAATCATGAAATTGGAAGACAATGGCATTTTCCCGCCAGTTAGGCAATTTTTATCGAATTTTTATTTTTTGGCTCAATATTGTCTATGTGTACAATTTAAAATATATTTCTGTGTCGATTTTACTGAAAAACATTGATCAAAGTATTCAAAGTCAACGGCATAAAAATGTAAATGTGCAGTTTCCAAGGTCTCTCAAGCTCTGGAAGTCGCCAACCTTTAACTCTTTGCCGTCATATTTTGTTGAAAATCTAAAGAAACTGGGTGGTAAACAGCGCCAATCGGCGAGATGAGGCGGCAAAGTGTTTAAGTTAAAGGCTATTTTTCCGCTAATTTTACCTCAGCTACCAGGCAATCCCTACCTCCTTTAAACGCAGATATCTCGACTTCTGTTCAAGGTAAATGGATTTTTTCAAAATTGAAAGCAAGGCAAATGAATAACCTTTAAGATGATACCAATAACTCCACATTCTCAAAATTGATGAGCGCCCGATTCCACAGCATCGTGACACATATATTTACAGGACTAGTAGACACATTGTTCTGTACTTAGTCCATCTCACTTTCGAAAGAAAGGAACCCAGTCATAAAAACTCTCATCACAGTAATTCTTTGACAACTGCAAGAAAAACAAACGCAAACCTTCAAACTCTAGTTTAAGCAGATGTTTTACGGTGCTCGCAACTGCAAAAGGTCATAGGAGCGCCAGAAGATTAGAGGTGTTACAAGTGAGTAACAAACATAAAAAAGAAGGAAAGATAAGGATGATAGATGTTTGATAGGAAAGAAGAAGCAAACCACACCAGAGCACCCGCCAACCACCTATCTTCAAACTCTATAGTCCTATAGTAGCGTACTTCAAACTCTATGGTCCTATAGCGTACACAAATAAGAAGGAACTTGAAAACTGCAAGCTGAACAAAAACTAAACCTTATTTTTTTTTCTGTGAGAAAAAGAACGGCTTCAGAATGAATATTCCACAAAGCTGGGCTTTGACATCCGAAACTTAAACCAGATTGGGAAATCTATAAACAATTCCAACTTGGGTTTCAGAGACTTCATACATTAAAAATGTCAAACAGGACTTCTGAGGTTGACAAAAGGTGTTTTTTTTGCTTCGGAATAAAATAACAGGAATCCCGTAAACAACTTACACTTATCTTTGCATTCATTCATTCATTCATGACGACATCACAAAATAACCAGAAAAAAGTGTTACTTTTAGTTTTTTATTGTCAACATAAGCTGGCGTCCTAGATTTTAGTCGAACAGTCCAAAGCCCATGTCGTCATCAGACTCCTCAGACTCATCCTTCTTCTCCTCCTTCTTGGCTGTAACAAAAAGAGAGCAAAAAGAACATGATAATAGGGTCGCACAAAAATTAACCAAAGTGTAGACAGCACTTTTGAAAGTATCACCGACGGCAGACTGGAATTTGTGTGTGTGTGTGTCTATATCTGGCAGTGGTCCAAGATTTTAGTTTCCCATTAGAACATTGCCCAGCCTGTACTTGACTTTTTGTATTGAACAAGGCATACAACATGGACACAAAAGGACCCAGAATATTAAAATCCCATTTACTCTGTTAAAAAATGTACCCTTTTCTCAACACGTAGATCAAATAATTCAGAATTTATTTTCTTCTATATATTTCAAATAATCATACCAAAAAAAACCTATGACCACCCACTAAAAATCTGTTTTTAACTGTTCTAAATAAAACAAGAACATAAAAGATAAATTAAAATTATAAAATGTCTAGTTTGCAGAAGTTATTCGACACCCTTGAAATGTCAGCAGCCCATTTTATATTGAGATTTCAGTCCCTGGCAGTCAGCAAGCTAAAAAACAGTGATAAGGAGTAAAAAATATGAAAACTGTAGGGCATAAACGACAGTCCTCGCTAACTGAAATCGTGAAGGTACCAATTTTGAACGCTTGTTGACTCATAACTGTATTTCTGTTCAACTCGTTGGTTGATTATTGTTGTTACATTTCCTATTCAACAACACTTAACAATAAACCACCACTCAAACAAACATGAAGTTATGAGTCAAAAAGCTTTTAAAATTGGCACCCTCACAATTTCCAGTTTGTGCTCTTCCTATACTAACTGTGACTTCTCAAATCAGCAATACCAAAACACACTACACTTCATAAATTACCAGCAATACACAAAAAGCCTTAAAGGGCTATAAACAAGTTATTCATATAAACTACAAAAGTTTCAATACATTTCTTACTGGAGATCTGCAGTGTTTAAAAAAAATACTTTCATTTTCCCGAAGAAAGAATGATAAACAAACCAAGTTCAGATTTAATAAAACACAATTTTCGCAAAAGTGTACAGAAATATCAAAAATTATACCTGACAATAAAGAATCATGCCATGTTTGAAGAATCATTTAGGGGGTTATAAATTAAAAACAGAAACACACTTATACTTATAAAAGCAAAAGTCCATAATTTCGCCGAAAACAGACACACAGTAGTTACCTTAGAATTTTCAAGTTCTGACGTTGTTGGCCACAAATGTTCTACCTATTTGTTCTATTAAAATCGTAAGATTATTCGGAGTCGTTTATCCAGATATTCAAAGAGCTGCATTCGAAAAGACATGTGAAACCAAAATTTTTCATGAAAAAAATTTCTCATCTCTCAAAACTAGGTAGGCCTAGGTAGGCACAGTACCCCAACAAAACGACTTTTTCTTAATCACAGCAGTTTCCAGAGAAATCAACGATTTTCAGTTTTCTTATTCTCTTGAGCACAGGGAATGACATTCTCCTCACGGTACAGCAAGATCAACCATTGATGTACCGTGCAAAATAGTTTCAATTATGGGGGAAAAAAAGAAAATTGTTGATTTCTTGAAACTGCTGTGAATAAGAAAGGCTCGCTTTATCAGCGTACGGCAGTACTGAGCAGATAGAACTTTGAAAATCCAGGGCAGCGAGTAAAAGTTACCTTCGGCTGGAGCAGCACCACCAGCAGCAGGGGCGGCGCCACCAGCAGGGGCAGCAGCCACAGCACCACCACCAGATGGAACGGAAGCCAGTTTCTTGGAGCCTACACACAATAGAGAGAGACACACGCGTTATTTCATTAGTCTTTTTTTAGTAAGTAATACGACACTTGCAACACATTTAGGCCATATATTAGAGACAAAGATTATAAGAGGTATTACAAGATAGTAAACATTTTTTTTAAAAAATAATAAAGTAGGGGAGATAAAGGAAAACAAGATGTCTGATCAAAAGAACAAGGAGACCATACCAGAGCACCCATCAACGTTCACTAGTGTACGATGAACGACGTTTCAATTATTTCCGGTCATTGAGTGGATCATTTTTACATCACCCACTCTACTCTCCCTTTAAGGGGGGGGGGAGGGGGGGGGGACTCAAAAGGAGAGAAAGTGAAGAGTTTCCTTCCCCTGTCCGTTTTAGTTAGTAACAAGTTTTACGTCACTTGCAACACACTACGGTCATATAATAAAAGCCGAAGGTAAGAGGTATTTGAAGAGAGTAACAAACCCAAAAAGAAGAGATCAGGACGATTGATAGATGAATGTTTGATAGGAAAGAAGGAGCAAACCACACCACTGATATTCCCAGCTAAAACCACACAAATTATACTCAGTGATTTATCAACATGGACTCAGCTCAGCTAGTCAAAATGGGCATTCCCTTTTGTTTTTTGACGTATCAACTTTCTAATACCCATTGTCAAAATAAGTCTGCGAATTCATCAGATAAGAAGGATCAGGTCACTACACAATTTTACTTTCAACTTGGCCTACATCATTGTGGGCAGATTTGTAGTTTTATATATATATATACAAAAAAACTGGATCTGATCACTCAAAAGACGAACTTACCCTCTGCAATCAGTTCCTCGAGGTCTTTGCCTTTGAGTTCACCGATGATCTTGTTGATCTTATCAGACTCGGCTTCAATACCCACGCTGCTCAAGATCTTCTCAATCTGGGCGGCAGAGGGGGAGCTATTGCCACCAAGGGCACACAGGAGGTATGCAGCAACGTAACGCATTCTGAGAACTGGGGAAGACATTTTTTTAATTCATAAATATTTTGAAGGTGTTCAAGAATCAATTCAGTCGTTGTACTGAGTAAACCACAAAAATAATCAGTATCCAGACCTGCCACTCTATGAAATCTAAAAATCAGGATTTTAGAGTAAAAAAATCAGGATTTTAGAGTAAAAAAATCAGGATCTGGTGAAAAAAATCGGGATCAACAGCAAATCAGTCATAAGGGGCACTGGGGAAAGGGGGAGGGTCCGTCCTGGTTCTCTTTCATAAGGCAAGTATGCAAGACAAAACTTTTGCAGGAATAAGTTCACGTTTGGACCTCTAAATAGAGGGAAAACTGAAAGACAGCACATTACAATAATGTACTCGAATCGGAGTTGGAAAGACTGGGGGACCCCAGGTTGCAGTAAAGTTGAAACTCTCTCAGTCTTGAAAATAGCTGACACATAACTCCAATCATCCATGCAAAAAGCCTGTGCTTTCATACAGTAACAACTTTTGAGTTCCATTGCAAATACACTCAAGGCACACCCGTCCCGAAAAAAAGAAAAAAAAAAATCGCGCCAAGGTTGTTCATTTATTTTTATTTTTCTTATTCATTTCCCCTGAATTAGTACCTGTTTCACGGTACGCACTTTAAGTCCAAGTGGAAGTGCTAAAAAAATAAACCCCCACCCCCTCATCCCCGGTCATCCACACTGGTTAAGTGCTGAAAAACACCTCGACCAATGCGACAGGTGTGAATGAACTTTGTTGACCCCGACAACCGACGGTCCTTGATACACGCGCTACTCACACGTACAAGGTCATGTCACGTGATGCGTACGAACGTTTGAAAGTCCCACTGACAGGTCTTGATGATGGGCCCAATTAACCGGAACTCGGACAAAGCTTGCTTTTAGAGCAACGGCAGAACAACAAATAGATTATTTTTAGGCCTATGTCATAATTGTTAAAGTAATGAGGACACCATCGGAGAATTCTCATTCTGGGTTATAAGCGAAAGTAGATCTTGAGCGTACCGATTTTAGTTGAAATAACGTGCGTGAGTCATCTACTAGATTCGGCAGAGATGCTTAATTTAGATAATAACGTTCAAAGTTCCTGCCGATAAAAGGTCCAAAAGAGGTTGCAGAACTTTTTATATTTTTTTTCTAAGAATCAGACTCAACAGATGCAACGACAAAAAAATCAGGATACTGGCGATTGAAATCTGGAAAATCGGGATGCTCGAGATTTGGGGCATTAAATCGGGATGAGTGGCAGGTCTGCAGTATCTGATTATAATCCAAACTTCATTGGACACAAGTTCGATGGAAAGAGCAATTTTTTTCTAACATGAAGGATTTTAGTTTCTGCTGGGTGATTAAATGCAAAATAGGTTACTGTCATGGTCGAGCAGTCTTGTTTTCTCGCAGTACCCTTTGAAGGTATTTTCAAATGAAGTATAGTCCGGGAACGTACCAACCACAACTGAAGTATCTGAATATTCACCCTTTAAAAATCTCTAGCTCTAGAAATTGAATTGGATGCAAAAAATGCTCCTTCCCAGTCTTCGCAGAATGAAAGGATGGCCCCTAAATCTCGCAAATAAAAAAAAAAAATCTCGAGATCGGAAACCGTTCGGATAAATAGGGTTCAACTTTATTTTCCCGAACGTTCGGAGAAATAGTCACTTCATTATATTAGAGCTGGTTCCTGCTCGCCAAATCTGAGAGTGGCGATTCGCGATTGAGACGGCCTCAAAGAAACTCGAGTTCGGAACAGTGTCATTATATCAACGCCACTTTGCGAGTCCCACTCTTGTTGCCCCGCCATCCTCTCCACCCCCACCCCACCCTTTGTTGCCCTGTTCTATGACCTCAATTAGCAACCCCAAGATTCGCTAAAAACAATGGCCCCATAAAATTCCTTGTCTATTGGTTGGACCCATTCATTTTGCTTTAATAGGGGGGGAGGGGGGTGTTTGACAATGGACTATACCCTATACCATCTTTTGTAAAATAAGGGGAGCCATACTAAGTGTTCCGTTCCGTCCTTGCACTCGCGACTCGCTACCCAGCAGTAGGTTACTAAGAAGCCGCAAGGTGGTGACAGCGACAGGGGAGTGAATGGGAAGGCGATAGCTTACTGTTCCGTGTTCTGCTGAAGTAAATCGCGTTCCACAGGGAAGAGAGGCGATTCAGTTCCTTTCTTGCGACCCAGCTCTACTTTCTCTAGATCTAGATCTAGATCTAGAATCTGCACTCTTCCCGGTCGAAGTAGGTTAGCCTATTTATAGGGCCTGCGCGCCTCCTGAGTAGCCCGGCTCATGTCCTTTGGATATCTAGATCTAGATCTATATTGGGCCTGCGTGCTTCCAGGGTTAAAAAAAATTACTGGGTCTGGGGCGATACAGGGGGCATGTCTCCCAGTCTTTTAGTTTTATACCCCTTGCAATTTGGTTTGAGTTTGAAATGAAATTTTCTTGAAAATGGTTTGTACCAGTTTAGTGACAATGCGTGGTCTGCTGCAAAAATTTAGTTTTTTCCCACCGAGTCCTGGCACTTCCCTGCCTGCTCCTCTTCAGTTTCAGTGTTCAGACTGTTTTTCTGTTCTGGTATCTCTCATGACACTCATGTCTCATGTCAGACAGTCAGCCCTGCTTTTCCAGTCTGAACTGATAAAAAACCATGCTGTATAAAATCTTAAAGATTTTGGAATGGCCATGGAATACCTATTTAACAGATTACAGCACAAATAAAGACACAGGAAACAGTTTAACAAAGTAGATTGACAGAGCTAGATCAACCTCATCAACAGAAAGCATCAACAGCGAGAAGAGAACCATGGAATGGATGAACACGCGGTCCGCTGTGGGACAGGCATGGCCTAGCATAGCACATGAAGCAATGAGGTGTGTGTGAAAACTCGACGAATACTCTATCAGATCACCATTTCGTGCAAATTAACAATTATCTTACATCACAATGAGAATAAATTATACAATTTAGTAGAAAATATGTGCCTTACACGGATAATTTACTTACTTTTAAGTCTTTCTAGACACGAAACGTCGATCACACTCTCTAAGTTAGATTAGAAAGGAAAGGGAACCGGAACTAAGGAGGGGCAATACCACGTGTTTGAAAAACCTGGATTGGAAGAGGTTTAGAAATATACATTGTAGGCCTAATAGTAGATCTGGGGCCTAATCAATGGCGAGAAAGACAAGATGATTCACAACCGTTATGTTATCGCTGTTCAAAGTGAACAAAGGCTAGAGGGGAGAGGGGGGGGGGGGGGCTATAACTTATTTTGTCAACCCATTGGATTTCACCAAGGGGGCCTTCCTAGAAATACCGCCACTGTGAACATCATAGAACAGAGGCATATAGTTTCCAAAGCGGTCCTTACACGATCAATTATAATTAAACATTATTGTGCAATTTAATTGTTAATACTCGGAATAGACAATTACTAGATCTAAATTGACTGAGTATGGGCGATACTGACGACTTGCACAATTGTATTGAGTCAACCAAAATTAGTTTGATATTTTATGGCGCAAGTCTAGATTACTTAATTACACAATTTAACTGACCGTGTGTGCAAACGTACGTGATGTGCAATAGCCTAATCATTTTTCATCCAGATTTCGTACAGTCATCGTGTGTGGTGTCTGATAAAGAAGAAGACAGGGCAGTTCATATGGAGTTTATCGAGGTTTACAAAAGTTTACCAGCCCAAAAGAAAGTGAAGTATGACGATTACAGCAACAGACAAAGATGCAGCTTACGGTGTATTGATTGAAAAAAAAAAATCCAGGAAATGTGCCAAAAATATACAAGAGAAGATGTCAAAGAAAAGACTAATGCTAACAGAACAAATTATCGCAAGGAATTAAAGAAGGTTCACGACTCAGAAAAACCTGGTGCAGGGACGGACCAGGTTTATGAACCAACTTTGTTTTGTTATATTTTAATGCCCGTTTAATTCCTTTTTGGGGAATTCATCTTCGTTTTCTGTTGCAGCGTTTGTAAAATGACCAAGATTGCACAATATAATTGATCGTGTAATTAATTCCAATCTATAATGTATAGTTTATAGTCAAACACCAAAGAAAAACTAATCAAACACAGGGTTTTGAGGCATATCAAGCATATCAAAGGCAATGTTGCTGCCCATTCTAATTCATCATACACAAATCAGAGACATGAATTTAGATATCTAGATCTGGATCTACATATTTCATTGTATTAATTTTTAAAATTAATTTCAATTTTAATTTTATTTTGCCTGCCTCATTAAAGTTTTCGACTATTACAAAAGAACCGAAACATCTGTATATTATGAATAATGAAGTACATGATTTCTCTTTTTTTTTTGTGTAAAATAACTTCTAAAATAGAGTGTCCTCAACAAGTTTAAAGTTACGCCAACCATGCAGAGCTGTGGGAACAGTCTGAAAGTTAATGAAAGATTGATGAGGAGAAAAAGAGGTGTATAATTAATTAACATACGTAAATACATACATATTATAAATCATACATTGTATGTACATGTCATAGAGAGAGAAAGAGAGAGGAAGGGGGGGGGGGGAAGAGATTGTAGGGAGAGCAGATGTGGAGAAGAAGGAGTGGTAGGAGAGGGGGAGAGAGGCAATGAGCTACATACGTAATTCTTACGCACAGTAGAATTGTAGAAGTAAATGGGCTGATCAATGAATGTCATGCTCATATTATACTGTGCCGAAACAACATAGAAGAGGGGGAACTGCTGCCTTTTCCCCCCTCATCCGGATTAGATCTACCGACATATTTTTCCTCTACTTCTTTTGCACCATGTTAGTCACTCTCTTGTGAACTGCTATTTCCGGGTGCCTCGATAGTCGAAACCATAATCATAGGTCAAAGCAGACTTTGTGCTGTTGAGTCTAGAGAGGTGACTTCTCTGTACAAAAATATATATATCTCTCTCACTCTCTCCCTCCTTCCCTCATTTCACGGACCTGGAACAGACGTGTTGGCAATCATGGCTCTCCATTCAGTGGTATAATATTCTTCAGTCATCCCCAGAAATGTTGCTACACTGTATCTTGTTCAAGAATTTAAGCTTCAAAAATACACAAGGGACGTAGGTAGCTCATTGCCTCCCCCCTCTCTTCTCTCTCTATGACATGTACATACATATATGTGGGGTTTTTTGTATGTATTTATGTATGTAAATTAATTATACACTTCTTTCTCTCCTCATCAATCTTTCATTAACTTTCAGATTAAGGAGAGAATAAAATATATTCAAGCCCCTTTTTGTGACGGCATGTGATGTGCTTACGAAAGAAAGTCATTTCTTTTTCTTTTTGTTATAAAGTTGACCCACTAGATTGACTTCACCAAGCACAGACTCAACGATGAGGTGCAGCAAGTTCTACTGCTCAATGTAGTTAAATCACAAAGACAACAGAGTTAAGTTTTTTTTTTGGTAACAGTCTTGCGGCACTTGCAACACAATAAGGTCAAATAAGTGCCAAAAGTTTGAGGAGTTACAAGACAGTAATGAACACAAAAAAGAAGGAAGAGAGATCAGGCAGGACGATTGATGTTTGGTAGGATCGAAGTAGCAAACCGCACCAGAGCACGTGCCAACCACCCGTCATAGTCATATGCGCCGAAGATTAAAGATTTTATAAGAGAGAAAGAAACACAAAAAAGAAGGAGGAGGGATAAGGATGATTAGTGTTCGATAAGAAAGAAGGAGCAGACCACACCACAGCACCCACCAACCATCGACAAAGAAACAGAATGTGAGCACCTTTGCAAAACGCAAAAAATAACCAAGAAGGTGATGTAACAGTGAATCAACATTTTATTATAAACATACAACAGCACAATTGTACATAAGCCTACAACTATAAGGCTATTATTTTGTCAATTGGCATGGAACTAGATCTAGGTCCTTTTCACTTTCATCCACCTCCAATCCATCATACATTTTCCAGTTCACTTGCAATTTCAAATAATACAACAGTACAACTTGTACAATAAAAAAACATTTTTCTCACTCTCCTCACATAGATCCCTCTCACAAAGACCAATTACATTTTCTATTTATACAATTTATACAACGTCACTTAAAAATACAATGTTAATACAAAGATGTTTTTTGGGTGTTTTTTTAATAGTAGAGGGTTTTACGGCGCTCGCAACTGCATAAGGTCATATGAGCACCAAGGGGTGGGTGTCAACAGAGAAGTCTTTACAGGGAATCAGACTTACTCTGCTCACCTATCTAGCTTCAACAGCACAAGGTCTGCTTCGACCTTCAAGGCACCCTGGAAATAGTGGGTCACAAGAGAGTGACAAACATACAAAAGAAGTAGAGGAAAATGACGATAGTAAGGATTAGGAAAGAAAAAGCAGCAGTTCCCTGTTGTAGATCGGGCAGAGTTACGAGCATGACATGATGAATCTGCCCATTTACAATTCTACTATGCTTGAACGAGAAATGTCCCCCCACTTTAGGAATGGCCTAAAGACACTACAGTCAGTGGCACTGCCTCGGGGGGTGACAAAAATGTTTATTCATTTAACATTTTCCAGTCATGTGAGGTCAAGTGGAGATCCATTGTAATAATAATAATAATAATAAAAATAATAATAATAATAGTCTACCACGCACGTAGTGAAATTGACAGCAAACGAAAATCTTTTCGTTATAATGTAATTTCACGAAGCACAAATTTCAGGTTATATCGAGGAGGGTAAACGAAGTTGAAAAATCAGGTCAAAAGTCCACATGAATGTCACACCAAAATGCACGATGCTGCATTCATAGAATAGTAGAGCCAATTACTATTCGACTGTTTGTTCAGTGGGAAACCCCGTCATACACCACTTTTCAATATATATGGCATACAAGGCAGAGTCTTAAACTGAGCAGTCCATTTACAGATTAGAGTTTTTGACACTGATTTTCCATCAACCTCTTCTAGTTGGTCGCTTTTAAGCACAAGGGGGGCATCCCGAAAAATGCCGCTTTGAGAAAATCGAAGGTAAAGTTTTTGAATATTTATTCAGCTTTATTAAAAGACAAGTAGATTTTTGTCTGTAACAAAAACAAATATACACACCAATGAAACCAAACTTCTCCTATAGGTAGGACAATGTCCACTCTTGGGGAAGGTCAAGATTTCTGGAAATCCACAAAATCTGGGTTAGCTCGCCTGACCTTAAAAGCGACCAATTCTAAGATCAGCCATTTTGACTTGGCCAAGAAGCCTCTCTCTCTCTGCTTCTTTTGCTCTGCCGTTGTCCTCTACCTACTAAAGCTTCACCAAAACCTAACTTTGCAGAACGTCAGCAGCACTCTGTTGCTTTATTCTACGTGTAATCTCTGATGCAAGCAAAGTGCAGCAACTACACCGGACATGTTTCTGACACGCAACTTCTAACTCCCCAGACACAACTGAAGTGTGTAGGCGAGATCTACCACAGAGAAAAGTTCTGAGGCGCGGGCAATAAACAATTCCTCGGCCATCAGCTTATTATAGTAGAGCGGTACGAGGCCTACTTATAATGCACCCTCTCTATCACTATTTCATAATCTAAGAACAGTGAATTCATCAGAAGATGGATATATATCGCAGTAACTGTCTCACATATATTGATTATTGAGCAGGTGTTTACAATAGCTAGTTGTTCCACCACACAAGAGGTCGCACATTCTCCTAATAAAATTAACCAACATATAAATGTGTCATGACGCGGTGGAATCAGGCGCTTGTCAATTTTTGGACATGTGGAGTTATTGTTATTATCTTAAAGCTTGTTCATTTGTTGCTTGTCTTTCGATTGAAAAAATACCAATATATCTTGAATAGAAGCCGAGATATTTGCAATTGAAGATGGGGCGGTCGCCTGGTCTCAGAGGTAAAATTACCAAGTAAATGGCCACGAAGGTTTGGTAATTTCCAAAGCTTGAGAGTCATTGGAAACTGAAAATTAAAAATTTTTGTGCTTTTAGTCAAAGTTTTTCAGTAATATCCACACATAAATGTGTTTTTAAATAGACATAAGCGGTGTTGCGCTAAAAAAAAAAAATTCAACAAAATTATCAAACTGGCAGAAAAAAGCTCATATTTTCAATTTCATTATTTCGA